GAAATATTTTCCTGCTTCACAAAGGGCCTGAGAGGCTTCTAAAGGTGCAAGAGCTCATGAAAGAAGATTCACTGGGAAGGTCCAGCTGTGTGAAATGCTATTCTCTTATATGAGGATTCACAAAAGCAAGGTGAAGCAAAAATGTTAAAGAGCCCCTCAGCAGTGTGGATACTTCTCTTTTCTAAGCGATCCCCAAATTCTTTTTTAATACACCTCACATTTTCTTTTTTGTTACTTTGGATCAAATGCAAAGCATTACACTGATGAGCAGTAGCCAAAGTAATCTTGTCTCCTACTAAAATTAAAAAGAAGAAAAATGTTTGAGGCTGGAGCTACCATCTGATCGGTTTTTTTCCATGCAAATGGCAGAAAATGAACTAGAATTAGTAAAAGTGAAATAATGAAATTTTCCAATAATATATTCTGTTTTGGGATATGTTTTGTACTAACTCTATGACTACACAAATTGGGATAATCCAACATCACTGGGATTTTCTGACCTGAACAGACTGGGTCTAAAGAACAAAGCTGACAGTTCAGCCTGAAGGTCTCAGTACATTCAGCCAGTGCTAATAATGGTTCTACAAACATTGCTTAGACCTTCCTAACCTTGAATCAATAACACATTTCTTTGATTCATTTATTTTAAAAATGTTAGTTATATTCAGGAGAAAAATTTGTACATCATTTTTACTGAAGTGATTATTTCCTAATTGCTTAGAACTGTGCTTTACATACAAGATCTCCATTCTGGAGGCAAGATTTTTGGAGGACTCATTTGTAATTGGCAGCTGATTCTCTCTGCATGTAATATAAGCAACATTGAGCTACAAAAAATATTAAAATTCCTCCCAGCTGCAAGCACGTGTCTGGAAACTGTTTCCAAATATATTTTTGAGGTTTACACATATCTTGTAACATTGCTCCAGAATGTCACTGTAGTCTAGCTCACATCCAAATGGTTTTGCAGAAGAGGTTTTATATTCCCTCTCAAGTTGGACACATGCCCAAATACACCCATGTGTAGGGTGCAGTAGGATGAGGTCTGCTTTCAGTAATACCAACTGCCAGTAAACTCAAGAGGCCTATTAAAAATAGATACAGTTAATAAAAGCAGTGCAGCCACACATTTTCCTGGCAGGGTAGAAAAGAGGTGCAGTGGAGCTAAATAAATTGCAAAATTAAAAGGATTCCCTCTGCTGTGTAAATCACACCATAGCCATCAAAAGTTACACCATCAAGAGGGGCTGCATTGCAGCCATATTTTAGCTACAAGTAACACTGTACCTCATTGAGTAATGACAGAAACCCCAAGAAACCTTTTTCTAGTTTCAAAATATAGTAATTTCAATGACACATTCAGAAAGCCTTGGTAGGCTAATGAGCTTGTGTTTGTCCACTCTTACTGTGGTCCTCCAATCTAATTCTTATTTTAGTTTAAGATTAGGTCTTCTGATAAATGGAAGGTTTTGGGAAATTAAAGGAAAGACTGACATTTTTCATTTCAGATCGCTGGGGATTAAGATGTTGCAATTATTTGATGACCCAGATGAGGAGAAGAGACAGAGGAATCAACTTTCACTGAGTGAGTAAAAATCCATAAATTTGTATTTCAGGGTTTTCCCTAGTTGCAACAATAGCAGGTTTTTCACAATGAATCAAAAAGGTTCAGAAGAACAGAAATAAAGAGGGCACAAATTGTTGTCAGATCACAAATCTGAGAAAGCCAAGAAGAGCCATCTTCTTCCTCCAAGATGCCCTTGAAAAAATAGCAAGTAAAAATAAAAAGTAAATGAGCAACCAATTTGACAGAACTCTGGAGACAGACACAGGTTTTGCATTGCTATTGCTTCCTCTTCCTACTCTAGCCAGAAAATCTGGCAATAATGTATGAAAAGAAAAAAATCAGAAAGGAAAGGAGCCACCTGATGGGAGCTGCATCTCACTTTCATTGGGTGATGGCTGAGAGGTACGTAGTGCTCTCCAAGTCGGTCCTTCTTATGTCAAATCAGTAATTGTGAATGGCACACAGAAATAGAATAAAGATACAGTTGCTCACTGATTATGTCTTCATATCTCTATGAGTTGCAAAGGCTCAGCTCTTTTCAGTGCTAGAACTGCTGATATCAGTGGAGACTCAGTAGTGACCATAACTCAGGACAGCGTCTCACAGGTCTTCTTGAACAGTCAATCTGATCTCACTGTGGGAGAGTACCACAAGCTGAATATGTGAAGAACCCAGTAAAAGGACCAAAACCAGTTACTTGGCAGAAAGAGAAACCTCATTCCTCCCCTACTCCCTTTAATCTGAAAAGTCACCTTGCACATTGCAAGAGCTTTCTCTGTCCAACTGGCAACTTGGCAATCCTGACAAGAACAATTTGACTTTGGATGGAAGTTGGATCTGTGGCAAGCATATAGTTATAAAATAAGTCACGCTTTCCTTCCATTTGAGTGCATGTTCTATTTATGGCACATTCCAGATTATGCAAGGATTCCCAGAACACTGCAGACTCTGGTTCAAAATTATATCTGCAGAGCATGGAGCAGATCAAGAAATATTTTAAAATCCCACTATTAGCAAATTAAGGATCTTGCAGTATTATACCTGCAGAACAGATGAGATAAATGTAAAATATGTCATAAGGCAAAGAAAAGCAGTTAGAATTCATTTTATTTTGCTTGTTATATCATTTTAATAAATTGCATATTAAAAAAAAAACAAGCAAAGAATAAAATAGTAATTACATTAAAAGCTTAAAAGCCATGATAAATAGTTCATTTGATTGAAAGTGAGACTTCTCTGATGTTTGAGAGACTGGGGATGTTTTAGAGTGTGAACAATTTAGGACAAGACTATTAGACTCCTAAATGCTTTAATGTCAATTTCCTCTCAAAATAAATGTGACAAAATAAAAAGTTTTGCTATCCATTCAGACATGGAATAGGAATTTTCAGTGAAATTTTTTATGTTCTGTGAAGCAAACATCATGAATTTCTTAATGTTTGTGTGGAACGTATTAAATAATAGAACTCTTTCAGCCAGGGCTTAAGCAACTGAAGTGACACATGAGAACTTCCAAATCCTTCAGAAAAATAATGTAACAGGAGAATCATGCAAATGCAAAATCCAAACACATATACACTGAGTGTATCTCGTTTTTCGGTGCAAGTATACTGGAAACCTCTGCATCTATAAAGCATTTCCTGCTATTTATTTCCCCAGAACACTTTAGTCATTCACATAAACTTGAAGTACTTTGTGTGCTTTGAAATAGGACAATTGACAAAGCTTAGCTGAATTTTCAAATAACTGATCACTCCTAAAATGCGAGGCACGGATTTCTGAAAGTCAGGCTCAATAACAGCTATTATGAAAATTTGGCTGAGGTTTGTCAAACGCAAAGATTCCTAATTGTATTACAAAGTTTATTAGCACTGAGTCATCACAGGTTTTCACTGAAATGTCACTACAGACACAGGTTTAGGTGAAAAGTATTCAAAAATATAAACTAGAGCAACGATTTCCATGCCACTGCAATCTGTCAAACTTTACAATCTTGATCAATATTTAAGAAAATGGATGTATTGACTGGATATCCCGGACTGCTGCAGATAATGAATCAATTTGGAGCTAAGCTATCTGGTTTGTTGGCTGTCTAATCAACCCAAGAAAAAACTGTACTCTTGCTAAATTTTTGCAGTTTTCCCCACAATTGCCAAGCCTTGTTACAATGTGAACTCTGCAGTCTAACAGTAAAAAACACCTGTAAATATGCAAAGTCGTAATAAATTGAATTAGCAAGATATCTGGGCTTAGCTGTAAAATTGTGCAAGATGTCTTAGATACATTAAAAAGCAGAGTTTATACAACTGGAATTAAAAATCTTACCCTCAAAACTACCTTTCATGCTTGAATTAGAAGCTGGAGCTTAGCAGTGTTTCCTAGCAAAATAACACTGTCACCATCATTAATGAAGTATTGCTGTCTCCATACTTATCAAAGCAGAGTTTCAATCTATTAAAAATATAAAATAGGAGGAGAATGTGGAGGAAAGAAAGGCAAGTACTCCAGCCCCAAATGTAGTGAGACTTCTTTGTAAAGTGCTTTTTTTGTTTGTATGTTTTTGTTTTGTTTTTAAGTGTATTTTTGTGAAATTTTACTTTAGTAATATCATTTATACTCTTCACATCACTCAAATTTTCAGCTCTGAAGCAAAGTTCTCCCATCAGTGGACTATGGAAAGAAGGTGATGTGAGCTGCTCTGTTACCTATCCAATTATTCATCATTAATGGGCTGAGTTGCAATATAAACCTTCATGCGTAACTTTAGAGTCAGAAAGGAGCCAGATTAGACAGTTTTAATTACCCAGGAGTCATCATTTGAGCTTTCTCTTCTCATTCCCTTTCTTTTAAATCAAACCCCCAGTCTCACTCACATGTTGATTTTCTCACATCATCCATGAGATACTGGACTATTTTACCCAAGGTGTGAAGTAGTCTGTTTTTAGCTATCTGTTACAAAGTTAGCAATGTTACTATTCTTACTGGGCACAGTGTGTAAGATGTATTCCCACACTAGGAGAGTATTTAGTAAGGTCACAAGGATGCCCAGTCCTTATCAAACACATTCCCTGGAAACTTGGCAAGGATTTCATTCCATGGGGGCAAAACAATGCCATTGTTTTTAGAATCACTTAAATTTTTCAGTGTTTGTGCAGAAAAGTGTATTACCAGCCTGTAAAAGAAAATTTGTTACCATCAGCATTCCAACTCCAGTTTTTCTTTGAGAAATTGATTTTGTATTCAGTGGAATTGTTTCACATTTATACTAGTGCAAATGAAAAAGAAGCAGGCCTTCTTCACACCACTGTCAATTACTTTACTCTTTTTAATCATTCCTTAAGGAAGAAAACAGAACTTCTAACATAATTTTAAACATAGCCAGAGACAAGCACAAGATGTAAGAATTGGATAAAAACATCTTTCATGTCGGAAAAGGATTTTATGCAACTCAAAGAATAACAGAAATGTGCATAAACAGAAAGCATAAACAGAAGTGTGACTTGGAAATAGAACTCTGTAGAAAGGAAGAAGGTTGGAGTGCTGTGTCTATCTCTAATAATCACTGAGAAAGAGGGAAGTCCCTCCCCACCTTGTTTTTTGTAATTTTTCTGACATTTTCCTTATAGTCTCAATCCTGTAGAAAGTGAAGCAGAACTCTCTCCATCTTTGCAGAGCTCCCAGATGGTCTATGTAGTAGCAGACTCCAAATTCTGCTGCTAAGCTGGACTGAGTAATATAGCCTGAAGAGATGTATTAAATAAGACATACCACAGTGCAAGCAGTGGAAAAAGATGTGGTCTGCAGTGCTCTTCAAGATCAGAGGAAGGTGAGCAGGGAAATGCTTAATTTAAGCATAGTAAATATTTTGAATTACATATTACCTGTATAAATTCTGCTTTCTAGATACATAATTCAGTGTAACAGTAACTATCTATTACACATGGAGACCTGCACAACTTTCTCAGCTTCAAAAAAAAATTTGAATTTGAAGCCAGACAATTCATTTATTTTAAATAGGAAAAGGACTAATGCCTATATGCCACCATGTACTACATCTGTGTAAATTAGAAATTATGAGTCACCAGGAGTCTTTTTCTGCCCAGACATGTACCATTAGGCCACATGTGCATTATACCAGGCAGCTGTGCTCCAGAAGAACAACTGGCTAGGCTGCCAGCTTGTACTTTGCTCTATCGTTTTGTCTTTACAAGCACACTGGTATGACGCTTTGCCATTTGCAGCAAGTTCTGGCCAGGAGACTGCATTTGGATACAGCTCCACTCCAGAAGTGCAGCAAAATAAATTGACTCAGCCTATCAGTTGGAATAAAGTCTTCTAATAAAAGATATCCTTTGTCAGAAGATGACAGTACCACTGAGGACAGCTGCACTTGGGAAACTTGAATTCTGTTCCATCAGAGATTTCTTCAGTGACCTTGAACAAATTAAGTCTATGCCTTGCTTTGCTGCTTGAAAATATTTGCAGGGCTTCTTAAGGGCAAGATTGCAAAGCCCTCAATTACAGTGGTACTGAGGACTAGAAAAATGGACAGACACTAACTTTTTTTGGAAATACAAATTTCTACTTCAATCATAAAAAATCCCCAAGTGTACCAGAGTGTGAGCATGAGGGTCAGAAAATGCTGTGATTGCAGAGAGCCTTCAAGCTCTGCACTTGGGTAATGAACATGTCTTCTGACACTTAATCAGCCACTACTGGCTGATAAACAATGAACAGCATCTTGCCCTTCTGGCCTAGAGAAAGGGTCATCACATATAAGGCCTTTGAGTTTTCTGGGAAACACAGAGCTTAGGAAACTTCTGCAAGAATTATGTGGTTCTGTAATATAATTATCATTTCTTCTCTAAGATAGAAAGCTCACAGATGGTAACGCACCCTGGTTTTCCTCACATTAGAGTCACAGTGTTCTCTGTGTAACGCTGCTCCTGGAGCTCATGGTTCAGTAGCTTTATGTCTGCCTTGATTGTAAGTGGCATTGTCAACGCTTATTCCAAAAATAAACCCTCCTGACTAATGACACAGATACTCCACAGGCTTAGAATCATCTTTTTATAGCAGCTCTTTGATTCTAGATAGCAAATGTCCACTATTTTTGGCACAGGAGCTCAGAGAAACTTTCATGATCTTTCGCCTACATGACCAGTTTTACACAGTTCAGGTTCTGTGAGAGTGCTCATGGTTTTCATTAAACATAGAGAAATATGTTTGTTCTGCTGCATATTTGTACTCACTAGAGAAACAACTGACCTAGAAAGCGGAGACTGTGCTATCGCATGAGGTTTTCCACATTGCTGCTGAGATATTAAAGGCTTGTCACTTCAAGAGGTTCTTGAGGGTCTGATGATTTGATGCTCAATGGAACTGAAGAGAAAAAAATTTGCATTGAATTAACTAGAAGTGAAAGGTACCCATGGGATGATGTACATGTACGAGGGCTGCTCCGAAAGTGATGCTTTTTGTCTTATTATGTTGCACGTGACATCAGAGGCAGATGTAGGTGGTATGGCATTTGAAGTTGAAACTTCCCACCACTGTTCTGTTACATCTTGTTGCCATGTGACAGATGGCAGCAGAGGGGCAGTCTTACAAAAGAGCATCCAACATGGAAGTGCATATGAAGCAAAGGTGCGTTTTGGAATTACTCCACATGGAAAAAATTGTACACATTGACATACATTGACACTTGCTGAACATTTACGGAGACCAAACCATGAATGTGAGCACATTGAAGAGGGGGGCGGTGCGTTTCAGCAGTAGTGACAGCAACATGAAAGACACAGGCCAGACAGTCACGCACAGCTGTCACACCATGAAACAAAGAGCATCTCGATCAACTCATCCACATGAATTGCTAATGGCGGTGACTGTGCTGAAAAACAGTTTTTTGTAGCTGAGAATTTCCTCTATCAAACTGTGTTATTGTGCTCTTTATATTTGTTGTAGCTTACGTGGAAATAAACAGGAGGCATCGTTTCAGAGCAATCTACAGAATTTCCTCATTTAATGATCTTGATTTAATAACCTGGTTTGTTTATTTTAATAAGAGAATGTGGTGTTAGTGCTGGATGCCAAATTCACCCACTTTCAAACAGAAGTTCACTGTTTATTCACAGGGCAAAGTAAAGATGCCAGTATTCAAATTGGTTTTTTTTTTTGGTAAGTTGTAATTTTCTTCTAATGCAACTCCACCAGCCATAAACAACAGCAGAAGCTAGTATGTAGGTAAAGCCCATGGTTTTTTTTTAACCTGTATCTGTTTAGTATATCTAGTTAACAGAACAGTAACATTTTGACAGTGCTACCTGATTCAGCCACTGTTGTCAGTGTTCCAGTGAATAGCATTTCTGTTGTTCACTGCTGTAGTCAGACACAAATCTCAAGGAAATATGTATTGCTACTAAATGTTCTGTAGTTTAAAAAACGCTTACCAGATTAGACTTAGTTCTACAACAGTGAGTACAGAACTTGGAAAGTAATAATGTTCTGATCCTTGTATAGGATAACACTACTAGTAAGATTTTTTAAGCAAGGATTACCATTTTCATGATAACAGTATCATTTGCAGCCAACTAAATACTAGTCCAGACTATCAAATCAACTTTTACTTAAGAAAATGTAATATTATAAAGTGGAACAAGTAGACACTTCAGAATCACAGCTTTAGAATGAGAGAGGCCATGGCTGAAATACTGCTTTGGATCTCAGCTCCCCTCACTCTTAAGAATCAGATGGAAAGCCACAGAGAGAGTAGGGACCTTGAATATATAATATGTGAGAAGGAGGTTTGTTTAGCCTGGAGAAAGGAAGGCCAGGGAATGTAGGCGTTCTCTTCTGCTACCTGAAGTTAGGGCTTACACAAAAGACATGACAGCACTGGTCTGTTCTCAAAGGGGCACCACAGAAGCACAAAACAGCACAAAAACAGTCACAAGATGCAACAGGGGAAAGGCATAAGGAAAATGTTGTTCACAACAAGAGTGTTTAAGCACATGTAACAGATAACAGAAAGAAGACTGAAAACCTCCAAGGTTGGAGGCCAGAAACCCAGAAAGACTCACATAAGCAAATAGGTACAATTATTACTTTGAGATAAAGCTAGTGGATGGCTGACTTCATTTCCAACAAATATCTCTTTGAATTGTGGCAGAAGTTATTTGTTTTATAAGGTTTTACATTAACATTCTGTCAATTCTATAGGATTGAAAATTTGCTTTCAGCTTGCCTCCAAACTTAACTGTAATTCTAGTTGCTGATACAGTTTAACATTTGTAAATGTCTGCAGTTAGAACATCTGTAGTCCTTGCACTTGCCACTATACAGAACAAAGACATGTATGTTATCCAGGGCAGGGAATTGAAGGGAAGGTAAGAAAGCACAGAGATCCATGGTTAATCATCAAAAAATCAGAAACAGATTCTCATCTGTCAGTAAAGCTTTTTTTCCATTGGAGTTCCTTGCTCAGTTCCCTTTCTGATAATTAACAATCACTCTATGTAACAAACAAGGGAAAAAAAAAATAAAAATCAGTATAATGGGCACTTCTACCAATATGAAATAATTTTTGAAGTTGATTACACAGTAAACCAGTGAATAGGACCCTGTTTCTTTTGTAAATAAATATGGACCTAAATACCAATGCATTAAGGCTGCTTAAGGCTGAAAGTAGGTTGATTCCAAGCTGCCCTATTTTAGCAGGATAGACTCAAGGTATATACTTTAAGACTCCTGAATGCAATTCATTTCACAATTACTTTGAAAGGATTGAGAATCTGTCAAGATTAGATTCCAAGCCTGGTCATCAAATTGTTGCAGCTGAACACAGCGTTGGATATAACTGTTTATTTTTGTTGTTCATTAACGTTAATATGCACTGGTCATTAAGATGAAATTCAATCCTTTAGACTTTCCCCTTAAGGCATGCTGTCCAATTATGACTGTTAATCCAACTAGTAAACCGTTCTCCCTCTGTATGTAATCTCCCCCTCCTTTTAGCATTTGACCATTTCAAACACTCAGAGACTATAACCTCCCATGGAAAGCTTGTCCTCTAAATAGTATAAAGAAAAGAATGTAAGAAAACTGAAGGATGGAAAACTTGTTACCACTGCTGGATAATTCAGTGGGGAAAAAAAATGTTTTCTTTCTAAACACTGTTACACAGTGCATGTATGTCTACATTCTTAAGCTTTGGGAGATGCCTACTTCACCTTTGTCAGATCTCTACAATCACATCTGATGACAAGGATCAACCTATGGAAAAGTATGTTATCTTGCACTCTGTTTGTCAGGAGGTGCTTTATTTGGAGAAAAAAAACAAAACAAAACAAAACAAAAAAAAAAAAACAAAAAAAAAAAACAAAACCAGAAAGCAGACTCAACTAAAATTAATAGAGAATCATAACATATATTTTCAACCTGAATATGGGCAACAGAAAAATACTCAGTAAAACAATGAGCTGTTTTGCAGCAGAGTAAAGTATAAGGAAGTTTTCTTCCTTTAGCTTAGATTTTTAAATTCTGCTAGTTGTCAGTAAAAATACTTAAATACTGCTGAACATTAAAGCTGTAGTAAAATGACTCACAACCTTGTCTTACAGCAATGCCATCAAACCTGGATAAGGAAATATGATGCATTTTCTTTTTTCTTTTGTGCGAACACTTCACAAAGATTAGTTCTCATGCACAGAGAGACTCCAAGGTGAGGATATGCCTTCTCTTTATAAAAAGACAGATGGTGCAGATCTCCTTCAGCAAGCTGTGATTCAGAACCAAAATGAAGCAGCCATATAGCACAAGACTGTACAAGAGGTGCCGCTAACAGTTTTTTAACTAAGCAGAAGCATTGCACCTCAGTAACTGCTTGCTGTCTTTGGAGTCCAGGCAGGTAACTCTGATCCTGTGTCATACTGAAGTTAGCTTCAGGTATTTAGCAAAGATGCTGTATCCCACTATGCACTATTTTTCAACTTACCGTGGAGAACTTTCTGATACATTACAAATACCCATGTCAAGTTCCTGACTACGTTACATTAGTGCGAATTCAGTGACTCCAATGGGATAAGAATTCTTCCAGATTAATCCCCAAGCAAGAAGTCTAAATCTCAATTCTCTTCTTTTTCTACTGGCTTGGTTGCCTATTTTTAACCAGAAACAACATTTCTATGTCTTAAATACACAAGGTTCATGATTACGCTACTCAGACTGAGTCAGACAAGGTAAATGACAAGGCCCGGAACAATGCACAGCAGGTTGCCAGATAGAAGTGAGTGATTCTGAATTTTCTTCATTTGGAATAGGCTCCAAACAGCTCCAAAAAAGGTGAATGTCAGTATGCAAGCAATAGACAACTCACAATTCTCATCTGAAATCACCTTGCAATTTAGACTTCTTTTTAAAAAGGCAATAACTATCAATTATAGAGACCACAGAACAATATTAGACCGTGCTTTTTATAGATAAGTGCTATCAGTTTATTTCCAAGACTTTCTTAAAACCTTGTGTCATGGGTGAGGATCACTGTCAAATACAGTCTTTAGGTAGGCTTTTCCTATCCCCAGTTTGATGTGCTAGGTGGAAATGAGGACTCTGCTGACGGCAGGCCAGATGGTTGATAAAATACAGACCTAACACTGAATCAAATGCTCTACAATCCCAATATATACAATTGATAGAGAGATGGATGCTTGTCTAATTAATACTTGGCAAGCAAGAGTCAGATAAATAATTACTAGGCAGTTTACTGAGACCTGAAAAGTTCTTGTAATCTGTGTAACAGATTCTTAAATCCTAAACCAGCTGCCAGTCAGTCTGGGGGATTTCTCTAGACAAAGTCACATGTACTCACACTTCTTCAAAGATGCATTTATTCCCAGGTGTTATCCTTCCTGTCTTTGATTAACATCCCTGAGAACCAATTCTACCTACTATTGACACTGCTCCTTCTTCTATTCATCCAAACTATTCTGTTTCCCATACATACTTGGAAGAAAACATAAAATCCAAATATGACAAGTGACTGCTCAGTATCCATCCTTTGCTTAAGTGGAACTGCAAAAAAGAAGAATACAAAAAAGAAGAAGAAGAATAGTTCTTGTTCCTAGAATGTTTTGTGTTTTTATAACTACAATCATTCCTTCATAGTGATTGAATCGTTTCCTTAAGAAACTTGAGTGATAATCACTGGAAAGAAAAATGAAGGGTAAGAAATAACAAATCCAGAAGAATAAAAGAAACTGTGAGATAAAAATTGAGTCACCAGCATAATAAAAAAGATAACTTACAGAAATTGTGTCCCAGATTTTCAGGCATCTGGGATTGAATGTCAGAGATGGAAGATTCAGGAAGACAGAGATAAAGCCTCCAAGATCCAAGCCTACCAATCCTTGCCTAACACAAGCAGATTGTACTCAGTTAGCTGAAGCCTTCTTCACAGATTCAGTATTATTAGAAGATTTTATATTTGAAAAGTAAAACTGGAATCACATAGGTATGTGAGTCATTTGGTTTGGACTTCTCAGTTTTCTTGAAGTTTACATTAGTTTCTATTTCATTCAACTAATCTTGTCTTCGAACAAAAATAGTTAAGAAAATACAGCATATCTCAAAACTTATAATGGATTTACTATCCCCATTAAACCTCCTGGTTTTAACATCTTGTTTTCAGCTACTCCCTGCAGCTGTTGCAACTAAGAATTCATCCCTAAGAATCATTTCTTTGAGCAGAAAGCTCTTCCTGTAATTTCAGGCAGGGCAGAGCAAATCTGTTTGCGACCAGGACAAATCTGTTCTCAGATAATTTCTTTCAATTACCATTGGCACAAACTCCATTAGTCCATAATACACAGTAACTTTTGCAAAGTTGCTAACACCTTATTCAGTTGTCTCAGTCTCTGAAATAGATACGGTATGGGAGAAGTAACAGTTATTGCTTACCAAAGAGAACCTGAAAGCTAAACAAACCATCCTGGAACAAACTGCATTAAAAATACTCAGCATCAGATTTCCTTTTATTATTTTCTCATTCCGAATAAAAGCATCCCAGAAGGATAGTTTCTTTAAGCATGAGACTGCACCAGAGAACATTCAGCATCTGATACCATCAGTCAGCTCTCCCAGCCATGTGTTAGACTCCTGAAATTCTCAGGCAATTCCATCAGATGTGCAGTAGCACTGAAAGAAAAAAAAAGTGAAAGAATGAAAAGCATTTACCATGCAGCTGCTAAGACAAAATGGCCTCTAGCTATTGACCATTCATAAAGGGATTTGAAATGAGCAAGCTTACAATAAGGAATGATGCAAACTAACATTACACATGAAGTGGGTTTCAAATCTATGATGTGACATCAGTATAAATTTTCTTTCCAAGGTGAAATGAAATGAGCATGTTCTTCAAAGGCAGATAGCACTGTGTCCTCACTATTCAGTCTGAATCAGTCTCCTCAAGTTACAGGCTGTGATGCTGTTATACAATGAAAAGATTTAGTCTTCCCTGTTGTGCGTGTGTTTACTAAATGTATCACAATGTAGCTGACGTTGCTTAAAGGCTGTATGTACCTCATCAGTGCCACTTTTTGCTGAAATAAGCACTTGCAGTTCCTAGGCATTTAGGAAGCATAGGATTTCCACCAGCCTCCCATTTGTTACATTGCAGAGGAAGGATTAAACATTCTAAACACACTTAACACAAATTAAGAATCTAAAAATCAACACTGGGAGAAAAAAAAAAATCAAATGAAAAATCTGGCCACATCACACATGTTGTGGTATTAAACAGCTGTTCCAAAACAGTTACTGTGTACTTTCCATGAAGACCATCTCCTCAAGAAACAAAACAAAAAAATCCAAATGAAAGTATAAAGAATCAGTCATTTTCATGTTGAAAGGCAAGGGAGAGTGTTTGTTATGTTCTGAAAACTTCCCAGTAAGGTCTGAACAGAATCTGAACAAGAGGAGAAATCAAGATGAAAATAAGCAGAACTGTTTTGAAATGAGTTGAAGATAGTAAGCAGGTAATTAAGATTCTGGACAGAACTAATTTTAGTTTAAGGAGCAGAAATATAGCAGCAGCAAGGTTAGAGACCCTAACAACACCATTTTCTCTGGAAATGTTCCGTATACCAATGCTTGAGCTGACACTCCAGGCAAGCCTGGAAGCTGAATGATAAGAAAGAAAGGTGAAAGTAGCACAGGAAACTCAACACTGATACTAAGAGAAAATAATGAAGGGAGATGAGGACTGACAGCAAATGACAGAAGACAAATACTACTGGAGCTGAGGTCATGGAAACAGAAGCAGGATATGAAGGAGTACACTAATGAGCCATGGTCTCCTGAGTGAGACCAAATCAGCAAGAAATCTTTTCTGATTAGCTGGGAGATCTGAGCTCAGAATGCAGAGAGAGTGAAGACATCAGAAAACATTCAGCAGTTACATCAGGTGGGTCACTAACATGCAAGTTTAAAAAAAGAAGTGGAAACCACAGAGGATGAGGGAGTTGGAAATCAAAAGGAGGGGAAACAGTTAAGTGGAAAGAACATAACAATAGGACAGATGAAGTAAAGAGAAGAGCTGGATATGAGTGCAGTGTAAATGGAAGAGAAGCTGAAATTCCTTATTACCATCTAATCTGTGATGACTAACAGAAATCAAGAAGAGGCCTCCATAAATGAGAGAGCCTCCAGGTGCTCCAAGACGAAGACTTTCAGAGACTGTGGAGGTGCCTTCTGAGCTACACCAGGCAGCCCAGACTCCTCCCAGAGCCCTGTGGTTGCCCCAAAGGCATGACAGTGCCCCAAAGGCAATATCACACACAAAGGAACCCAGGTCTCAGAGATCACAAATACCACAATCCTTGGCTTGGAGAAAAGGCAGGGTACTGCGAAAGGAATAGAGTACAGCTTACTGGAATTAAAAGTTTAAGAACTGGGAAGAAAGACGCCTCGCCACTCACAGCCAACAACAAAGAAACGGAGGAGTCTAGACATCTGGCTTTAACTAGCAAAGAGGCAGAAAGCGGTGTTCAAACAACAACAATCAGTATTTTGATGGTAGAAATGCATGAAAAATCATTTAATATATCAGAATATGTAGTCTGCATACCTAAATAATATTCTATTTCATCTGAACCATTCCTAGGTAAGCCATTTAAATTCAAACAAAGCTGGTGCATGCACAGAATAGCCTTTTCATGGAAAATTAAGGCTTTTCATTCCTTTCCAGAGAATAGAAATGAATTGTAAGGTTTATTTCCTGTAGCATTTTATTACCTCCAAACATTCAAATTTCTACCCTGAAAATCCAAGTGTGACTGTGAAGCTATAAAATATGTGGATAATATATATTTTATAGCCAACATATAATTATTTTTTATTTTTGTGAAAGTTCACGTTCTATACTCTACTGAAAATATCATACATGCTTTGAAACTTCAAATAAAAACGGAAGAAATACAACAACAACAACAACAAAACCCAGTCTTTTCATAAAGAAAAAATGACCACTTCAAATTACTTTCAAATAGAAATTGTTCCTCACTCTTGCTTGGCAGGTGATAGATTTTACAGACAAGCTGTAAATGCTCCAAATAGACATCAATAATATAAATAATTACACTGTCTTTATAAAGCAGTATGAACAACTATAATGCAACATAAAAATTTTCCATAAAAAATTTTCCAAAAAAATATTTCCACTATAATCAGCAATGAATCAGACGCCTACTAATGAATAAAGGTTGTGAATCACAACCTTTAGAAGATCTAAGACCACAAAATACTACAGCTTCTTAAAAATTTGCCCAGAAGCTTGTCTGTGTTAACAATGGTATGACCAGAGAGAGTTAACAAATAACTTGAGTTTGGGTTCACTGAGCTAGCCTGGGTACATCTGATGTGCACCAGTTGTTTTGGTATGGATTTGAAATCCAGTACACATGGGGTCAGCCAACTCCTAAGGACACATTTTCACAGTATACCAGGAAACTACCATGCTCCGACTTAGAAAATACAGTGCCATACACTTTAAAAAGATAATTTCAGAAAGCAAAAGAGCATGATTTAATACAAAACACTTTAAGTAATTTCTTATTTTATCTGAAACAATTCACTCATCCATCAGTATCCAATTAAATCTGGTATGAGTCAGATTGTAATATTGGTTGCTGATGACTAATAAGGCAAGTCAACATCTATACATCGAACTACTCAGTGATGATACAGCCATTGGCAACTTCAATTAGGGACAGTGACCATGTTTGTTTGTTTTAGTTTGTTTCTTTTGCTTTGAGCTTTTGAAGAAACAATAGAAATTGTAGTAAGACAAATAAGAAGAGGATACAGAGGTCTTTGAACCTTGGTCTCCCTTACTGTGACTTCTAAATGCACTAGTTACATTTTTAATAGATCTATATAGGTCACTCAGAAATAACAGGCATTGCTTTCAATTTTTTCCCAAAATTACAATGGATATGAAGAGCACAGAAAGACTGTTTGATAGAGCAAATTCTCAAATGTTTTTCAACGTAGTCACAGCAATGAGCTGTGCATTTTCACCAGTGATGAACAGCAGCCTGCATGACGTGCTCGGAAAAATCTGCATCAGTGGAGGTGACCCACTGTCACTGCCACCACTGGTGAAATGCATCACCACTGCCTCATGTGCTCACATCCACATACATTCAGCAAGCATCCATGAATGTTAATGAGTCCAATTTTTTCTGCATGGAGGAATTTAATGACACATCTTTGCTTCATATGCACTTCCATGTTGGATGCCAATTTCTCAGACTGCCCCTCTGCTGCCATCTGTCACGCAGCAACAAAATGTAATGGGATACTGGGGGTAAGGTTCAGCCTCTACTGCCTTACTTCCAACATCTGTCTCTGAGTTCACGGGCCACAAAATGCTTTGTCAAAGAAATATTCTTACATCAGAAATTTCCTGTAAATTGGGAAGTGAAAAAGATAGTTTTAAAATATTAGCATTAAAAAAAAAAAATCAGGAGGAAAGAATGACATCACTTAGAAGTTGTATGTATCAACAACTGAAATAAACACTAGAAAAAAGACAGAATTAATGCACATCTTTTTAATTGAATAAGTAGAATAAGAACATGACTTCTCAGTTGTTTGTTTGTTTTTAATTACTTTTCTCACATATGAGAAAATAAAAAGGCTTCTTACAATCACCTGTTATATGTAATGCCTCACAGAGACCACACACTGCGAGTTAAGATTCAGCCTTGTCTTCATGTCCACCAACTGGCTTTTATCCAGGCCACCACTTCACGTTATGGTCCCATCCACGACAGTAATACTGTGCTATAGATAGTTGCTTCAGAGAAATGTATCTGAAACCTAGCAGGCAGAGAAAAGGATGCGCACACAGATTCAAGACATGGTTCAGCTATGGTTTGCTAGCCAAGAAAATGTTTCTCTTTTAGTGGAGCCAGCTGATATGGCAAAGTGCTGAATGAGTGCTGTCTAGCCCTGCACTCGCTCAGCTCTCTACAGTGAACTGCACACTCTACAAGTCTCATTTTTTCTACTTTTAATTACTAAAACTATACTGACAGTCTGCTGCTGCTCAAAGTCCACATCCCATACCTGCATATCATAACTTCTCATATTCACAGGACCCCTCTTTAAATATAATCATTTAAAACACATGTTGTAAATAATGAGTTTCATCTATGAACCTTTCATTATAAACACGTTCAACAGATGAACTTGTCTGCCTTCTGCATGCAGTAAGAAAGCTGAAGTGAAGATGTGCTAAGAATACAGCACAAGCAGTGAGATAGTACTATTCCTAAATAGCAAATGTACATAACCTAAAAAAGTAGCCTACAGTTCCTCTTCAGTTACTTACTGTGTCTCAAGACAATAGGATCTCTCTCTGCATAGTCAGTATACTTTGTTTCTCACTGGGGAAAGAGGAAGTGAAGAAATAAGTTAGTTTTGTTATCATGAAATAATATCCTGACTTAATTAATTAATTATTCAGCCACATTTGAAGTCACCCAGCATGGGAAGAGTTAGGACAGAGTCTTCATGCATGCCCTAGCACCAGACTTTCAACTTCTGGCAGGCACTATGTGCCAGACACATTCAACACAGAACTTGTGCACAGATCCTCACGTTGTCCCCAGAGGACATACTTCTAGGCTGATGCAATAAGCCTTTAGTCTTCCATGAGAATAGATAGTTCAGAGGATTAATATATTTTCCATTAGTAATCCTCCTTGAGATGCTGAAACAGAATCACTTCTCCATAAATTTGCTTTACCACTTCACTACCTAGCATTGCTAGAGGAGACATCTCTGTCTCTTACATATGAGGAAGATAAGCAGGGCTATTTTGTTACAGGATTTTGATTTCATACAAGCCTCACCTGAAGAAGACAACTCAAAATACCAGAAAATAACCCACTGTATACATACTTCTTTGTAATATCAATGTTGTTTTTTTCTCCTCTTATTCTAATATATACTACCTTGAATCTCTTTTCTCTTTCTATCACCCTAAACAGTAACATACTAATAGTCCATTCACAGCATAACCCTTTAGAATCTATTTTGAGATTTGCTTGTGTTTCATCAGCTCAAAATTCCTGTGTATTAGATCAGATTTTTCCAGTAAAGATGCTAATGAGGTAGAATTTCTCATTTTGGTGCCCCTTAAGTTCTATTTATAGAATCCTTTCCAACAATGAATTCTGTTCATAAAACAAGGCCTGACTGCACTCAGAAATAAGTTACAATGAGCCCTGTCAGCAAATATTAGATAAAGGTAGTGCTGAAAGAGAGAAATGAACACTTCACATTCATTTATGATTTATGAGTTCAGAGTTCAAATGGAAGCTGCATGTAATAATGAACAATGGAAATACCTTGTTTGGCGAGGATGAATTGAAACCTTCAGCTTGAATAAGCTATCAATAGATTATTGATCTAAGCCATTACTGCTAAAAGTAAGTTTAAAAACCAGTGATAAAAATACACTATCAGCTACTAGTTAAAATTCTCTTTCATCACCATTAGGATATAAATCTATAATCCCTAGAGTCATGAGTACTGCACATCTACAGCTGCATCTCCTCTGCAAATAGAATGCACGCATATATAGAAGTTTCAGACTCTTACCCATTTCAAGGAGAGGTCAATTGACTCTGGACAATATCTCAGGATCTTAGGGCAGTAAACCTCCATGTGATCACAAGAGAGCACAACAGTGCATTTTCCACTCCATGACAGAGAATTAATTTTTTATTATTATTTATTTTATTTTTATTTATTTATATTTATTATTATTTTTAAAAAGGTAGCCGTATGTGTTTTTAGTACAATACTGGCATCTTGAAATGAAAATAAAGAGCTGGTCCACTTGCTGTATGTATGAGGTTGGTTCCTACTGCTTCAGTTAAAAAGCACAACTTGGCAATTTCTAGTTTCTTCAAAAACGTCCAGCAAAGCAATAGAAAATCTTCACACCAAGCTGAAAAGAAATCTACTGCATCTGTAAAGTTTTTGAACTTTTTGAGCAAAAGAAATTTCAGAGGAGATTGTTCTCATCAGCACTATGAATAAAACATGAGTTGGCATAGAAATATTTATTACTAGCATTCACCAAAAAACAATAGAATGCCTCTAAAAGCCTGAATGGAAAAAAAAAAAAATTAAAAATTAACTAGGACTACAGGAAAGGAAATGCTGATAATTGAGGACACCTACTTTTATGTCACATGACTGGAAAACCACACACACAAGTTAAAATGTAATTGAACTCCATTCTTTTTTTTAACATAGTTGGAAAAGGGGAGATACATGGCATTGTTTTTGCAGTTTCTACAGAGGTCCTCTGCTCTTTTCTGTGTAATGTCACAAAAGAAACTTTCAGAATATTGACTAGTATAATCCTATATAATCCACAGCCAAACATTTCAAAGACACGAGAACTTACTTTAAACAAAGTCACAATAAAAATAAATCTTTTCTGCGGTGTTAGGCATCTTTTCAGGGTCTTCAGGAAATATACTCAACTATTTTCATAGTTAAGTAAAAACTGCAAATATCTTTAACTCAAAATGAGAATTTACAGAGGATTTCCCAAAAGACCACAGAAAATCATTGGCAAACAGCAAGTTTCTTTAATGCATTAAAACATCAGGATGCATAGCTTTTATGTGCTTAACACAGTCTTGCAAAAAAAAAATTAAATTAAAAAAATTAAATTAAAAAAAATATTAATTAAAAATTAATAATAATAATAAAAAAATTAATTCTGTTTTTACTTTGTTTAAATTAATAAATTGCAGCATAAGCCCCAACCCTATTAGATTTTAATTTTGATGTACATCCTCTGGAAACTTATCCAATTACTCAATTTCATTCTTAATAGAAAAAGCACAAAAAAATATCTGATTAGCACATAAATCAAATGGTTCTGAGATCAGAATCTGACCCAAGTCTAAGTATAGAGCTATTCCACAGAGGATCAACACTAATCCAAACACAGCAGCCTTGTTCTGCTCCAATTCCACCCATCATTTTAATCTTTCAGTTGAGTTGCCAATATTGTCTGAATTACTTTACTTCCATGGTAAGTGATGAGAAACAGAGGCTCAAACCTATCTCAGACTGAAGACTGGCATTAAACAGAGGATAAAGTAAGCCTGCAAGGACAGTCCATCTCTTACCTGTGACGACACAGAGTATCACCAAGTACTTCAGATCTTTGATACATGCTGTACTACACTGCATTGCTGTAAAGCAGCCAAACAGTTGAAAGAGCTTTTATTTTGCTGCTTGCAGCATCACTTCAGTGTGTACCAGGCAGAAAGCATGTCTTAGAATTCCCTCCCCTACTATGTGTGGAGGAAAGACATCGCCCTTTATGTTGGTGGAAGAGAAAGCTGTGTTGCCTCTAAAGTATTTGCCCACAACAAGAAACGGAACTAATCTCTGTGAAGTAATGAAAAGAAAGTAAGGGTGGAGAGAGCAACAGCAAGAATACATAAGAGATGCAAGCTTCAATAGTTACAGCAGCATCCAGTGCAGGTACATATGTCCAGAAGAAATGCAGTTAATATTTAATGTAACACCTATCTATTCCTCAAGCCTTCATTTTTTCCAGAATTCCAGCTGACACTGAGAATGAACAGAAGGATCAAAATGTCTCCATGAACACCAAGACACCGAGATATAAGAGTAGACCTCCATCATCTCAAAGAAGCGAGGCTCCTTTCTCTTTAATTTCCAAAACAGAATTCCTTGCAAAAGCTAACATACTAAACCACAGCATAGCCATGGGGCAGCTGTGAACATCTGCAGCATACAAGCTGCATGACAGCACGAGTTGGGCAGACAGGTAACAGTTCAGTGAACAGTTCTTCAGCTGAAGCAATTTTTCTTTCTTCAGCAATTGAAGACTTGAGGAAGGAGGCTTCATTTTCTTGCATCAAGCAATGGCAAGACAAGGAAATTGTTTTCTCTAAAGCTTAATCACTTTGGTTACTTGAGCCATTACACCCTAGCTTTGGCAAAAAAACAAACAAACAAAAAACTGAAGTTAATCAAACCCTTGCTTAGATTACCCAGTTCTGAGGAGTTTTGTTAGCAGCACCCCAATTTCTTTTGTTAGGGACCATACCTAAAAGCAAAAACATATTAAAGTCATCAGAATAACATAGCTCTCCTGCAAAACACAACTGACATCTTCTGGCCAACCTTGGTTTTACTGGTTGGTAATCAAACACTTCATTCAGATATAGCAATCAAATTGAAATTGTTTTTGTTAAATAAAACCTCCAAACTCTGGAGCATGAAGTCATGATTTAAGAGCCACTCCACAGCAACAAGAGCCATTTCAGAGAGCATAAAGCAGAGCACACTGAACAAAGCAGAATAGAGAATATCAAAGGTTCTGCTGTCAGAGCTCACCCCCCCTCCCCCCTCAGCTGGCAGTAGTTTCCAATACCTACAACATGTTTCCACAGCTAGCATCTTTTGGCTGGTGTGAGAGAAGTTTGCAGTCAGTCTGAGCTAACTAGCACGCTCTGTTTGCTCACTTGTTTGCCGACTGTGTTTCCAGCACCTTTAAGCCTTGCTCATTGACATTCCTCCCCTGCCCCCAACCCCCATTCTTTCTAATTCAGAAAAATAACTACAAGGTAAAAAAAAAAAAAAAAAAAAAAAAAAAGTATATATTTTTCCCCTTTAAGAAAGTTTAAAAGTTTATTTCCTTAATCCAAATAGAAACCAAAACACTGCTTCCTTTCCACAACTGCTCCGCTCTCATTCATCTTCTTCCTTCAAGTTGTTAAAAGAACCTCAAGCCAAAGCATTCTGAGGGGCTCCATTCAAAAGGCATAACTACTTGCCCACCAGCTGAACTGCTACACGTACTCCAATGTGTACCAGATTACGAAACCTTTTCTAGAACAAGTTTTTTTGTTAATTTAGCATTCAGTGTTTGCAATTGTAATACTGAAT